CTAACGACATGTGATGTTACAACACTAGTGAAATATTAGTGTCATTTCATTCATTTCAAAGGTTTATTTGCATGACGCACAAACAGACACAATTGAAAGGTACAAATGTGCATGACACGAATTCAAATGTGGTGCAGATGTCTGTCACAAGTTGATCTGGCTGTAGGCTGTGGCACTTGGCCAGAGGTGGCGCTGGTTGACTCGAGTCCATGTTAATGCACAAAGTAAACTGCACGCTGTAGTTGTGAAGCAAAAACGCTGAATTCGGAGAAATAAACCGTGCGAGGGGAACGATAACGACGACAAGAGTCTCCCGATCGTTTACTCTTGCTGTCCTGTGAACAACATCGGCGTGGTGTTAATTGTTTGCTGTTTTCGCGATTGCATGAGGATATCACCAGGTAAACTCGCCACATTTTTAAACATTTTGTTGTTCAACAGCATCAAGACTGACGGAGTGTGTTTGAGATAACCTCACAAGTGTCATAGATGACACATTTGGCGTTTTTTTTGCTGGTTTGTCGGTAGCAGCTCCTGAAACGCAAGACTGCCACACATCTGTTCGACTAACGCCAGTTGGTCTAAACGCCAGTAGATCTGGAACAACGGATGTTAGAGCTCAAAGATTCAAAAGGATTTCTTACCTGCGAATGACATAGAACAAAAAAGAAAGCAATAAAAATACAGCCATCTTATCCTCATCCTGTAATCTATCCTGTAATTAGGTTTAGAATAGTTATTGATGTTGTTTCTTCTCGCTGACCGCACTCATTTTACTCTACGCGTGAAAACAGCCTCTTCCTGTTCCTTTCTTTCACAGTAGAAGTCCTAAAGTCCTAGGGTCCAGTGTCTGCAGACTCGGTCACTGACATATACAGTACGTGACTGGTGTAGATACAATGGTTACAGAAGTGTGACAAGTTTTAAAATAATATTTTATCATTTTGTAATGGTCCCCAAATCCTCTTGGGTGTTCTCCCCCCTTCTCCCTCTCGCAACACTGTTTTGTTTTAGGGGCCGGTGTTGTGCCAAAGTAGTTACCCCCGTCAAAAATTGTTTCCCCATTCACGGGAGCGCGCAAAGTAGGAGGAGCCACTTGCCCAGCTCCGTTCTGTACGCTACTTGTCAGTGGTCTGCAGTCGACGCGATAAAGAGTAAAAGCTGGAAAACAGCAGACTCGATTAATTTAATATTAGTTTCATGACATTGTAATGTGCCGTGTGGAAGACTGAAATAACCTGCTGGGAATACTTTGTCTAGAAAAAGACTTTGATACTATAATACTGTAAAACCAGATGCGATCATGGAAACACGTCGCTCTCCAGTGAATTTACACTCGGTTTACACTTTGTAGCGAAGCTATCACGAATGAGTTTATTTGCAAAATCAATCTCAGTATAACCAATAAGTACAGTAACTTTGGAGACCATGTCTTATTCACAGCAAAACCTATGGAGGGATACAGATTTTATCAGGCTGTGTGGCATTGGCTGCCAAAATGTGTGCCCCCCCCATCAAGAAGAGAAGCCCAGACTTATCTCCTTAGCTACTTCCTCTAGCTTGTCCGGGGGGAACCCCATGGCGTTAAGACATATAAGTCCCCCATTAGTACCTACTCGGATCGACACGAATCGATTGATTTTCTATTGCAAATTAATATGTCCTGATGTGCATGGTTGCTCTCATAACAACGTGTCCGGGCATCCCAGGAGAATATACTTAGACGCAGCCTGCGGGGAACGCAGCGTTGTTTTTTTGTAGCCATTTCCCTCATTGCCAGGTTCAAGAAAATGTTTGATTTTCTCGTCAAGAAAATGTTTGATTTTCTTGAACAAGACGCTCTCGTGACTCATCGAGCGATGCTAGTAACCAGCCAGTGGCATGCAGTCTGATGACGTCACACAGGATCGAATGGCTTGTAGCAATGGGTGAGACACCCCATACTTCTGAATCACTTCCCACAGAATACTTAGGAACATGACCACATTTTTCCTCCTGCATCTGAGATTCCACTAACAGATGGACTTGCCAAAAAAATAACACCCCACCTTGTGTCATCAATTTGATTGATGGCCCCAGCCTTGACCTTTTGACCCTACCGGAAGTACTCCGGAAGTGACTAATCGAGTCCAGATGTGTGTAATATGATCCATAAGCGCGACGAATTGCATCCGGTTTGGGGAGGGGGGTACTCCAGAAGTGTCTAATTGCATCCGGTGGGGAAAAATGGAGGGGTGGTTCCTGGGGCATGGAGAGTTCAGGGGGGTGACGCAGCAGATTTCTGTTGAGTCAGTGCTGTATAGAGAGACAGAGCGGCAGTTACTTTTTCCACAGACAAACTCATAGTTTGAATTCTGTTTCAGTATTATGACAATGATCTTGATAACCATTTTCTCGGTAAAGAGCTATTTCTTTTTTCAATAGCGGCTTTATTTTGCTTTCTTATATTAACATTATTATAGACGCAATAAAATAAACCTTTAAGATTATCCGACTAGTAACGGATTGCATTTATATAGCGCTTGGTGGAGGCAAGCTACATCCTTGTATGTGTTAAAAAAAATAATATCCCTTAGTGAAAAGAGCACCGCGCACATATTCAGAAATCGGTCTTACTTAAACAATTAAAACACCCTGATGAGGTATTTTGGTTTTGTGCAGCCACTCCTTCTCAGACCAAAGAAAAGAGTTTTTCTTCATTTTTTGAGCTCCTTTTACAACAGGTTTTCTCATTAACAGAAAATAGACAGAACCCCTAAAAGAAAACGGCCTTGTTTTACGCACATCAAGAAGGAATCAGACAACCGTCGGTTCATCCCGGTCAATTACCTCTGAGAGATCGGGATACTTCCTCCGTCGGGTACCATAAGCGTATAAGAAAAAGAACCCCAGAGAATTTATTATTTTTGTAAGAGTGAGAGAGAGAGAGAGAGAGAGAGAGCGAATCGATCAAACTTTTCTACAACACGTTATACCACTCCGGGTCAAGAGGGGCGATATAGCACGGACCGGCTGGATGACTACGCCGGATGGAAGCATAACCGGAAGCGTGGCAGGGACTTTCCCTTTGACCTTCATTCAGCTCCATGATCAGCCGTTAAATCTTTCCTCAATATTGCTGTAATGTAACAACAAAGTTAGTTTTTTAAAGATCAGACAGGTCCCGAAACATTCCTTACACATTCCTACAGTCACTGAATAAGCATCTGTGGCACAAATAAGCTTCAGGGACTGACTTGCTTTTTAGAACCGACGTTTGACAGTTGGATGTTGGCTTAATTTTTTACCCAAAGAGAAATTTGACCCTAATAAAAAAAGCACGATACCGTGGTGAATACTTACCTCAACTTTGATGGGGGTTTTTTCACAGCTATTTATTTTGAAAAAAAGTAAACATGTTACAAGGACACAATGCACATTGCAGAGTACATGAATGGGAAGTAGGAATTCCTCCCTAACAAATGCCAAGTCATCATCTCCATATTGTGTGTCCCACTTTTCGAGTTTCATTGAAGTGTATCCAAGTGCACAAGATGTAAAACAATCTATTAGTTTTTTAAGCCTCTTACAGAGTCCCCGTCAAGATGCCATTCATTTAAGAGACTAATAATTTTTTTAACTTAAATTGTGCTAACTTCAACGCAGTAACATTACAAATAAAACATATTAGAACTCATTTTTTGTTGGACACAAAAACAACTCGAGCATCTTTCTTTCGGGAGCCGAACTAGGGCTTACAAGTTTGCCGTGCCCCTGGGGACCAGTGTGAGGTTGTGCGGCAGATCCCATCGTGGAGGGTCCAGACACTCCCACGGCACAGACTTTGCTATCCGCACAGAGCGTTTCTGGTGTGGCTTATGCAGAAGAGACAATACAGCTCCCGGTAAGCATGTCTGTTGTAGCCTGCCCTTTATAAATATCTCTTTGATTATTCAAACAGTGTTTAAATTGTGACGTGTTTGTTATCCAAAAACATTTTATCTATGTTACTGATTTAAAATATACAGGTATTTTTCAAGTTTTTAGCTTAAACAGACTCTTGAGCATATTCATATAGCAAATCCACATAACCAGTGTGCACCCTAATGTACATCTTTGAACTGTATGTTAATCAGTACATGAAGCGTACCTCTGAAAAGAGTCCATCATTTGTGAATTTGCTGATTTGTTTTTTAACTGCAGTTTTCACAAACTGCGGATGATGAAATCCTCTGTATTGTAGAAAATGTCTTTAAACTATCGCTGTTCCTACTTACTGAGTTCCCTAGCTACTTTACTATGTGAATAAACTATTTGAACAAGAAAGGATTTAAAGACACATTGAAGCAAAGGCAAAAAAAAATTGTAATGAAATTTATGTGATCGTTCTTCCGAAATCCGGCAGAGAGTGAAAATCCAAGAGCTGCTGCAATCCTCTGCATTAATGATCTCTCTGTTTCTCTCCCTCTGTGTGTGTGTGTGTGTGTGTGTGTGTGCTCACATTCAGTCTTGACAAAATTACTTTTTTATCCAAAGCATGCACAAGGAATCAAATCTCTGTATCACAATGATTTCAATAAAGCCTTATTATTTTATGGGGGCAATATCACAAATTACCGTAGATCATTAATCGGGAACAAAAAAGGAGGATCAGATCAGCAATGGGAGACAGAAGTCTTGACACGTGCTTATAACTTAAAACACAAAAAAAACCAGTTACAGTTGGTCAGATTTATGGTATAAACCAGACTTTCACAGTCTGCATCTTCACAGGGTTTTTTTTTCTGCTTTTGTTCACTCCTAGTGTGATTTAAAAAAACAACAACCCACAGAGCCCACTAACTATTAGCCGCTTTTCCCCCTAAACAGTCAGTTGACTGAGAGAAATGCAATCCATTATTGTGAACGCTGAAGGAGATGTGCTCCATAGTCAAACTTATATTTCCTCAACTTACATCCTATGTTCTGTTTAATTCCGGCATCCCTTTGATGGAAAATTGGTTAAACCATTGCTCAACTTATGTCTGAATGACGGCAGATAATTCTGATGAAAAGGAACCTGACCCCATAAGCACTTTGCAGCTGAGTCAAGGGCTCGTGGAAATAAGGTCAAGGAGGTGTCCGGCGTGAGTGCGCGTGCGGCCTGACATTCCATTTGGGACATCTGACAGACACATTAATGCAACTCAGAGTGTGAGCAGCAACTCCTGTATACTAAACAGAAGAAAAGTAACGTGTAGTGCTTCCTTTTTTTTTTTTTTTTTTTTTTTACAACCGAGATTCCAGGGCACATGCTTATATGGTTTTCTTTTATTCAAAAACAGGTTAGTTTAGCGGTCGTGTAACTGTGTCCTTGACCTTTTTACCGGTTTGAGGAGTTGGTTCGCTGGTCCACATATTTGGCATGGTTCAAATGCCGAGTCTCCAAATGCAAACAAAAGGATATTTTCCACGTTATTTCTTAAATGTGTAAAAATGAGATTGGATGATGCCCTCCGCAAAGCCAGAACATCTTACATCTCTATCACTGATAGATGAAAATAAGAACAACCCCAGGTTTCTCTTCAGCACTGTAGCCAGGCTGACAAAAAGTCAGAGTACTGTGTTGAGCCAACCATCCCTTTAATGTTAACTAGTAATCACTTCATGAACTTCTTCACAAGTAAAATTTTAATTATTAGAGAAAAAATTACCAGTAATAGTCCCACAGATGTAATATTATCTACAGCTACT